CTGAACTTATGAATTTCTGAATTTCTGAGTTTCTGAATTTCTGAATTTCTGAATTTCTGAATTTCTGAATTTCTGAATTTCTGAATTTCTGAATTTCTGAATTTCTGAATTTCTGAATTTCTGAATTTCTGAATTTCTGAATTTCTGAATTTCTGAATTTATGAACTTATGAATTTCTAAATTTCTGAATTTCTGAATTTCTGAGTTTCTGAATTTCTGAATTTCTGAGTTTCTGAATTTCTGAATTTCTGAATTTCTGAATTTCTGAGTTTCTGAATTTCTAAATTTCTGAATTTCTGAATTTCTGAATTTCTGAATTTCTGAATTTCTGAGTTTCCGAATTTTTGAATTTCTGAATTTCTGAATTTCTGAATTTCTAAATTTCTGAATTTCTGAATTTCTGAGTTTCTGAATTTCTGAATTTCTGAGTTTCTGAATTTCTGAATTTCTGAATTTCTGAATTTCTGAGTTTCTGAATTTCTGAATTTCTGAATTTCTGAATTTCTGAGTTTCTGAATTTCTAAATTTCTGAATTTCTGAATTTCTGAATTTCTGAATTTCTGAATTTCTGAATTTCTGAGTTTCTGAATTTCTAAATTTCTGAATTTCCGAATTTCTAAATTTCCTGGAACTTTCTTATAATTTCGTTTTAATTTGGGATTTTCTAAATTTTTTAATTTTTGGATTTTTGTAATTTTCCATAATTTTGAATTTCTGAATCCCAAAATCTTTGATTTTCTCAAATTTTTTCAAAAACTTAAATTTTCTCATATATCAGAATTTTTCTGGAATTTTCAGAATTTTGAGTTTCAAACTTTTATAGATTTTCAGTTTTTGTTTTGGCTTTTTGTGATTTTTTGAATTTTCCGATTTTTTCAAATTTTCTAAATTTTCAGAGTATGCGAGGAACACCACGACAACGAGCCCAGGCTTTTGATGGAATGTGATTTTCTTTTTTTTTTTAATTTTTTGAAAAAAAATTTTTAAAATTGTGTTCAAATTTCTATGTATCCGATTTACTTCTTTTTTGTTCGAATTTCCGATTTTTCCCGCCAATTTTTCTGTTCAGTTTCCCACAATTCGAATTACGAGATACCTGTTTCCCCACCCCATTTCTGCTCATTGATTATCGATTTTTCTCTGTGTGCCTTATTGATTTTTTGCTTCGAAAAAACATTGATTTTTTCGTTTCAAGACCCAAAACGCGTATTTTTTCTATTAACCCGAAACGAGGCATATTAATTGTACCATATCGAATTTTTTTGAAAAATACAGATTTCTATATAATTTTATCTGCAAATTCTGACAATTTTTTTTTCATATTTTTGCTAAATGACTTTGTTTACCTTGATTTTTTTCTTCTCCGATTTTCAGAATCTTCAGTTTTTCTATGATTATTTTCCTGAAATTCCAGATTTTCAGAACCAAAAACATGGAGAAAAAATTCTCCGTTTTTGTGTACGGGACGCTGAAATCTGGAGAACCGAATCATAAGACTTTGGCTGAAACAGGTGGAGAATATCGGTGAGATTTTATTCGTTTGATTTGGCGGGAATTTTGAAATTTTTAGAAAATCTGATTTTTTGATATTCTCACTTTGCGATTCTGAATTTGGGGAACTCGAAAAAAATACAAAAAGTCAATATTCAGATATTCAGAAAAATGTTTTAAAGTGAGGAAGTTCCAGGATTCTTGAATTCTGGAAAATTCTGAAAAATCCAAAAAAAGCGGAAAATTCAAAAATTACAGAAAAAAAACGGAATTCCAGAATTTCAAGAAATAGAAAAATTCAAACATTTTCAAATTCTTCTTAAATTTCCGAAAAAAAAATCAAAAACCAAAAATTCAGAAATTCTCAGATATGTTGGAAAACATTTCAAAAACTTGAATTGATAAGTTTGAAGAAATTCCAATTTCTACAAATTCTGAAAATCATAAATTAGAAGATCGAAATTTCTGATATACCGTAAAACCTGTATTAGAAGGGCCGGCCCTTCTATTTTTCGTGAGGTCCCTAGGGGGGGGGGGCCCTTCAATTAGAGGGCGCACTTGTAATTTTCGTGGGGTCGCTGAGAACGGAGCTTCTATTGGAGGAACATCATTTTTCAGTGAAATGTTCATTTTTCTTCTCAGAATCCATTCATTAAAAAAATCAAAATTTCTAATATTGTCAAAAATATAAAAAAACTGGCACCTGAGATTTCCGCGAGCGCCGTTCGTGCCGATTTACAAGGTCCCATCCTTAAAACCGATATTGTATCAAATGAAATAAATTCTCGGAATTTAGAGGGATTTTCTGAATAAAATTCAGATTTTTTGGTAACATTTTGATCGCTAGAGTTTCTAGAACTACCGTAAAACCTCTAATAGAACGACACCCGGATCGTCCACTTTGAGCCCATATATCTCATTTTCTGTGAAAG